TATATATATAATATAAACTCAAGAGCTACGCTTTAATCTCATAAAAAAATATCGAATTATTTAAATGATTCATTATAATTATCCCCAAATAATTACATAGTTAAAAGTAGTAAATTTCAACCTTGATGGTATTTTTATAAAGCAAAATGGTCACGTATTGCTCAAAATACACATTCTTTAATTTTAGAGGCATTTTGGTAATTTTATAAAAATAATAATATAAAAATGAAGTTCATAGACCAATCCCCAAGACATAGGGTCATTTCGATGATAAATGACGCAAATATGTAAAGTATCACTAAAATACCGATTTCCACATGATAGGGTCATTTTGGTAATTAAACGAGATAAATAATCGAAATGGGGTCAAAGTTTGCATTTTAAACAAACTTAATGAAAGTCTCATAAATTTATTATGCATAAAATTATTTCTGAAAACTCAAGAGACTAAATGCTAATTTTTTAAACTTAAATATATAATGTATATTAACAACAACGGTGAATAATAAAAACATAATGTATAGATAGCTTGTTGGTTAATGTTTCGAGGCTGTGTGGTTGAGGTCACAGGTTCGAGCCACGCCCTCAGCTTGCGTTTTTATTCTATTTTTTTCTAAGGTAGTCGCACGCGTTATTGGGTCTGGACCAGCTTGTCACCCAGGCCCAAACAGCAGCAAAAATGACAGCAGCCATGGCTGCAAATTGAAGCTTTTCAACTTCGAAAATAGCTCGTTTCTTGATGTTTTTTCCTCATTTTTTTTTGCACAAAACTCTTGGTAATGTTTTTACCAACACTTTGACATAAAGAACACGAATTTTCATTAAGAAATGAGTTCCATTTACTCATTTAAAGTTTTAGTTTTAAACTAAACCGAACGAAACTTTAAACTTCAAAATCAAACCATAAAACGCCAAATCTGGAACGTGAGGCTACTAGGGTTCTATAGAGGACTAAAAAACGAAGCTAACCATATAATAAACATGAATTTTAGTTGAGTATTTTACCTCTAATCGACGAAAAATGAAGATTTCGGATGGGGACTTTCGAGCTCCGATTTCTCTCCCGATTCTCAACGAAAGTTCGGTTTTTTTGAAGCAAAAATGTAGAGCAAAGTGTTGTCTACATGTATATGTAATTTTTTTTTGTCGTAATAGTTGAATATTCAGATCAATAGATGGCTTCAAACGTAGTGTCGTTTTCAAGTTTCTGAAAATTTCAGATCTGGCGAATTTACAAAACAGGTCCTTCTGATTTGGACCTATTTACATCTGACTCAACCCCTTAACTATCGCGAATTTACAACTTTCACCCATGTCTTGACTTCTTCTTTCACTTTTGGTCCGATTTTTAAACTTCTTTTAATTTCTTTATTCCTTTAATTTATATATATATATATATATATATATAAGTATGTGTGTGTGTTTTATAATTCAAAAATGAAAAGAATATTAATGAAGATAAAATTATTTATTCCTCGAAATTTTTGGGTTTTACAACTCTTCCCTCGTTCAAGAAATTCCGTCCTCGGAATTAATACTCGCTAAAACAATTGAGGATATTTAGCTTTCATTTCTTCTTCCGGTTCCCACGTCATTTCTGCACCTTTATGGAATTTCCACTTAACTAATACCAATGGTATACTTTTGTTTCTTAGTCTTTTCGTCTTTTTATCCAATATATCAACTAGTTCTTCCACATAAGCGAGCTTGTCGTTAACCTCGATGTCTTCCAAACCCGCAACAGTTAATTCGTCAGCTAAACATTTCCTCAAGTTCGACACATGAAAGGTATCGTGAAATACCACCTAACTCATTTGGTAGTTTCAACCGATAAGCAACTGCTCCTACTCTTGCAGTTATCTCAAATGGTCCGATATACCTTAGACTTAGCTTACCTTTCTTTCCAAATCTTACGACTCCTTTCCATGACGATATTTTCAACAAGACCTTATAACCTACTTGAAATTCCAAAGGTCGACGCCTTCTATCCACATAACTCTTTTGTCTATCTTGCGCAACCTTTAACCTCTCCTTGATCTGTACTATTTTATCAGATGTCTGTTGGACTAACTCGGGTCCAGCTAGTTGTCTCTCTCCAATATCTGCCCAACAAATTGGGGTTCTACACTTACGGCCATACAATGCTTCAAATGGTGCCGCCTTGATGCTCGAGTGGTAACTATTGTTATAAGCAAATTCTATCAACGGGAGGTGGTTGTCCCAACTACCTCCAAAGTCAATCACACAAGCTCTCAACATATCCTCTAGCATTTGTATCGTCCTCTCACTCTGGCCATCAGTTGGAGGATGATATGCAGTACTCATGTTCAACCGTGTTCCCATTTCTTGTTGAAAACTTGACCAAAACCTCGAAGTAAACCTAGCATCTCTATCTGAGACAATGGATATCGGTACACCATGTCTTGACACGATCTCATTGACGTAAAGTTGGGCCAATCTTTCTAACGTATACTTGTCGCTGATCGGTAAGAAATGAGCAGATTTCGTTAGTCGATCCACAATTACCCATATGGCATCGTGTCCTTTTACCGTCCTTGGAAGTTTGGTGACAAAATCCATCGTTATCATATCCCACTTCCATACTGGGATCTCCATTTGTTGCAACATTCCAGACGACTTTTGATGCTCTGTCTTCACTTTCAAGCACGTCAAGCATTTTCCCACATAGCTAGCTACTGCCCTTTTCATACCAGGACACCAATAGCTTTCTTTTATATTCTTGTACATCTTATTACTACCTGGATGCATAGTATATTTGGACTTATGTGCTTCATCCATCATTACATTTCTTAGGTCTCCCAAACTATAAATCCAAACCCGATTCCCATGTCTATATATTCCATCTGGTCCGGCCGTCAAAGTCTTAATTTGTCCAACCATTCTCTCCTTTTTAATATTCGTTTCGAGTAAAGCTTCCTTCTGGACATCCCGAATTCGGTCTAGCAGCTCCACTTTAACACTCATCCCCATGGCTTGAACCCTGATTGGTCCGTTTATCTCCTTCCTACTAAGTGCATCGGCAACTACATTTGCCTTACCTGGATGGTAGTGAATCTCACAATCATAATCCTTAAGTAGTTCCATCCATCTCTTTATATTTAGCTCCTTTTGATCAAACATTACTTAAGGCTCTTATGATCGGTATAGATCATGCACTTTGTACCGTACAAATAGTGTCTCCAAATTTTTAGCGCGAAGACTACAGCTGCTAATTCCATGTCGTGAGTTGGGTATTTCCTCTCGTGTTTTTTCAACTAACGTGACGCATATGCAATGATCTTGCCTCTCTGCATTAGTACACAACCCAAACCCATTTTTGATGCATCGCTATAAACGACAAAATCTTCTACTTCTTCCGGTAGTGATAAAACCGGTGCAGTGTTTAGTCTCTCCTTAAGTGTCTGAAATGCTTCTTCTTGTTTCATTCCCCAATCAAACTTAACCGACTTCTTTGTCAGTATTGTCAAAGGCGTTGCTATCTTGGAGAAATCTTGGATGAACCTTCGGTAATACCCTGCTAGGCCTAGAAAACTTCGGATCTCCGATACTGACTTTGGAGATTCTCAGTTCATAACTGCATCAATCTTAGCCAGATCCACCTTGATCCCTTCCATGTTGACTACGTGACCAAGGAATTGTACCTCATGCAACCAAAACTCACATTTTGAGAATTTGGCATACAATTGCTCTTTTGCTAGTAATTCAAGAATCATCCTTAAGTGTTGTTCATGCTCCTTTTTACTTTTTGAATAGATCAAAATGTCATCTATAAAGACTATGATAAATTGGTCCAAATACGGTCCACAAACTCGATTCATTAAGTCCATGAATGCCGCATGTGCGTTTGTTAACCCAAACGGCATTACTACAAATTCGTAATGTCCGTAACGAGTCCTAAAAGCGGTCTTCGACACATCCTCTTCTCGAACCTTCAACTGATGGTAACCCGATCTTAAATCGATTTTCGAGAAATAGCTGGCTCCTTGCAACTGATCGAAGAGGTCATCGATCCTTGGCAATGGATACTTGTTCTTTATCGTGATTTTGTTCAACTCCCGATAATCGATGCACATCCTCATCATGTCGTCTTTCTTTTTGACGAATAAAATCGATGCTCCCCATGGCGACGAGTTTGGCCTAATAAACCCTTTATCTAAGAGTTCTTGCAATTGCTTCATCAGCTCTTGCATTTCTGTTAGGGCTAAACGATAAGGCGCCCTTGCGATTGGTGACGCACCTGGTACCAAATCGATTCGGAACTCTACTTGACGTTCCGGTGGTATTCCCGACAATTCATCCGGAAATACTTCTGGGAAATCCTTCACCACTAGAACATCATGTATTGTCTTCTTTTCGAGCTTGGCGTCGATGGTGTATGCCAAGTAAGCCACACATCCCTTCCGCAGACACCTATTCGCCTTAACTGCATTGATTAACCCTACGCAGCACTTCTTTCGATCACCGTAAACATGAATTGTTTCTCCTTCCGGAGTTTGAATCTTGATCATATTTTTATTGCATACTATTTGCGCATGATTGTTGGACAGCCAGTCCATCCCCAAGACCATGTCAAAACCCCCTAAACACATTGGCATAAGCCTAACAGGGAAATCCTTACCATCTATAACAATTGTGCATTCATCAAATACTTCGTCTACCTTACACTGACTACCGTCGGCTGTTTCTACTGTGTAGGCTTTGTCTAGCCTACAGGCACTCCTATTCAGATAGTGGCAGAAGGTAGTAGACACAAAACTACTATTTGCACTCGAATCAAATAATACATGTGCATACACCTTGTTGATAGGGAACATATCAGATACGACGTCAAGTGTTTCCTTGGCCTCCTCCAAAGTCATGTTGTAAGCTCGGCCGTGTCCCTTAGGTAGCTCCTTCCTATTTTTTGATCTCTTCCCAAATCCGTTATTCACTGTCTTTACGTGGGGTGTCGCACCATTTCGATGTTTTGGACGGTCAGGTCATAAATGTCCCGTAGCCCCACATTCATAACAAGTTTTTCCTTCTGGACACTCTCGCGCGGTATGCCCAGGTTTGTCACATTTGTAGCATGTCAGGCTCCCCGCTCTCCCCTCTCCCCTATGTCTCTTGTTGCATTTGTTACATGGAGGAATAGTGAATCCCTCGCTTCGTGTTTTTGCCAGAGTCGGAGTCCATTTTGGTTTCTTGTTGAACTTGTTCGATTCTTCCCATCTTCTCTTTGCATATCTTTTATCACAATTCTCCCTAGCATTGTTCTCCTCTGCCACCTTCGCCATCTCCACTGCTTGTACAAATGTGGTCGGTTTAGTCATGTCCACGTACCGTTTGATTTCGATTCTTAAGCCGTCTTTGAAGCGACCTATCTTTCTCTCCTCGGTAGCTACCTGGTAACTAGCGAACCTCGCTTTCTCAAGAAAATCGTTAACATATTCTTGAACCGACAATGAACCTTGCTTTAATCTAAGAAATTCTAATTCTAGCTTGTTCACCTCTGATTGTGTGCAGTACTTATCCATCATCATCTTTTTCATTTGCTCCCAAGTCATGGCAGCAATATCCTCATCACCTCTGATGGCACACTCAGACTCCCACTAATGCAATGCATAGTCCACAAAGGTTGTAGCAGCATAAGTCGCTTTTTGATCTTCTGCGCATCTACAAATTTTAAAGCTACTCTGCATCTTGGTTACCCAGTTCATCAGGCCAACTGGGCCCTCTATTCCCTTAAATTCTTTTGTCCCAGTGCCTTTGAATGTTTTAAAACTGCATCCTTTCTCCTTTATTGTCAATTCAGTTCTCTCGTTGGTGGGCGACTCTACCTTCTCTTTAACAGATACTTCCACCTTTTCAGTGGCTTGAGTGTTCTCATGCCGAACACTTTCCTCCTCTCTATCTTTATTGTCTTTAAATCTCTCACCCAACATTGCTTTAAGCATATTTGGCAATGTATCCCGGAGGACTTGTGCCATTTGCTCAGCTATCATTTCCTTTGTGAGGAGATTTTCCTCTCCCGGTCTCCTTGACTCCTACTGATAGCTAAATTAGCTTGCGCGGATGAAGTCGTACTAGAACTAGCAGTTCGGACACTTCCTCGACCTCAACTTTGGGCTCGTGTCCGACCTCGAACTGTTGGTGGGGCTATGCCATTAGTACCTCCCCCATTGAGGGCGTTCCTTGTTGATCCAGAAGAAACCATACTGACATAATAGGGTATTATCGTTTTAACATGATTCTAAAGTCAAACATAAAACATTACATTTTTTTCATATAATATAATCACTATATATAAGCGAAATACATAATAAGGAATTCACGTCGAAAATTTCATAATGCTCAGTAAGCTATATATATTTCGTGTCAATAAACAATCATGGAGAGAGAGACATTACATAATCCCATTTACTTACAAAAGATGAGATACTTCATAATTCTAAACACATCTCTAAATCATGTGAATGCTCAAAAAAATCTATTGAGGCACTGGACTAGATGAAAATTCGATCAACTATCTAGACACGCACAATTAAATCACATACCCAAAAGATCTTTCTCTCTCCCCTCTCTCAAAAGGATTCTATGTCTAAAACTGATCTGCGGGGTAATAAGGGAGATAAGGGTCCCTCAACCACTCCTCAAAAGATGTGGATGGCCTGGAATGCCACAAAGCAGTGGACCATTTTTGATGCAATGGACCCATTTTTGGGCCATTTTTGATGCAATGGACCCAGTCGGAGAAATAGCCCCTCACTACACCAGCATAGTTTATGGTCACTTTCTTATAGAAGTGAACTCTGTCTCTAAATCTAGCGCCTACGGGACGAACAACAATTCTTCGCTCCTGCTCAAGTACAACTTTATCCCAAATCAGTGCATGATGCTGTTCCGACAAATTTGCATTCTCTACAATTAGCTCGTTTAGGGCTCCTCCTTGTTCGACATGTGCCTGCTGAAGATTGTTCAACCATTCATTCAGTTTAGTATTCCCATCTAAAGTTCAGGTCAACCTCTCTCTTAGATTTGTGTTCTCTCCCTACAAGGTCTCTATAGTCTCCATCATGTCCTCACGTGTAGGGGTGCGGGGCGTGTAGTCCTCTGAAGGCTCCGGTGTGGTCCTTCGCCTGATGGGCTCTCGTGATGACACTTCACTAGTGTGGGCCAGACTATCGCTTCTGGACCGGGTGCCGGAAACATGTCTGGCACTGGAGCGGTGACTGTCAATAGATCCTCTATTCGGTCCTAGCCCGTAAGGTGTCCTACGTGTTCCGTATCTGCGTCCACGTTCGCGTCTGATAGACCTAGTGTGAATGGTGTGAACTAGGTCTCCTACAAGTCATAAAAGGAATACTATGTCAAGTAATAATGTAGGATCAAAATTAATCGCATGATAAGCAATACTAATACACAATAAACATGTGGTTCTAACAATCCTCTCAGTTTAAGCTTAGGCTAAGTAAATCTTAACCTAATTATCTTAAACTAAAGCTCTGATACCAACTTGTAACACCCTCATTTTTTTTTGAGAATGTTACATAATCTGAAACAAATTCCTAAATAAATACTCCAAAAGACGGCTAAAATAAAACCGTTTAAACCGTTTACAGCGGAAGTATTTGAATCAACCAAAAATTAACTTAAGTTCTAACCCACCTCATACCAGGTTAAGTTACAAAAGATCGACACAACGCTGCTAGACAAAAGACTAAAAAT